AACGCTCTACCAACTGAGCTAAACCCCCGAGATGTGAGGCATTTCGAGTATTGTAATTATATACGAACGTCACAATTGCAGAATGTTGTGGCACGTGCCCTCAATAGGAGGTCACGGCTAATGCGTGCCTGCAACTCTGCCGCGAATGCGTCGGCTTCTGATGCAGAAACCCCAGATAGCACCAAAAGAATCTGCCGACAAGTTGAGCCGGCTGACAGCTGCTGTACTCGCCCCTCACAAAGCCCGAGACTCCGAGCGCGAGCAGCAAAGACAGGCACGGCGGCTGCGCGTTCAAAGCTAGGGTCCGAGCCAAAGGCGACTGCGCTGCACAAAATTGCACTTTCCGACCTGCCGCGCCGCCCTGTGCTGCACTGTGCTGCGCCGCGCTGCTCTGTCACTCTCGCCTCGCCTCTCCCACTCGCGACCAAAGCAGCCCCCGAAAAAGGGCGTTGTGCATGCCTCCGTCCCTCCCTCCCTCCTCCTCGTCGCTCTCTCCGCCTTGGTTGGAGAGCAACTAGAACCGCGCCATAGTCTTAAACGAGTCAATGTGCATGCCTTGACGACGGCCGCGGACACCTCCACCTTCACGACCACGATCACGCATCCATTGGACCGCCTCTCCTCCTAATCACCTCCATCCTACCTTGGCGACCGCGCAGCCTTGGTTGGCTGTCACGACACACAGCATGCTAACCACGCTGTCGTCCCTCTGGACAGGCGCGTCCGTCGAGGGTCACCTCCACCACGACCCCAGCTGCCACGTCCAGCACGACCCAGTCGCCGTCTACCTCTCCACTTTCCTCTGTGTAGGCCTGATCGTGTCGTACCTGCCGCAGATCCTTCGCATCGTCCTCAACAAGTCCTCACAAGGCTTCTCGCCATGGTTCCTCCTCCTCGGCGCAACCTCCAGCGCATCCAGCTTCCTCAACGTCGTCGCGCTCCAGTGGGGCATCATCCGTTGCTGCCCGTCCGTGCCCGGTCTCGAGTGCACCGAGTCGCTCCTCGGCATCTTCCAGGTCGGTCTGCAGTGGCTCATGTTCGCAACCGTCTTCGTCCTCTTCCTCATCTACTACCCTGCCGACCAGCGCTACGAGCGCGCCATCGCACTGCCCCAACGAGAGCAGAGTGACCAACGCGTACGTGCCCGCGCCCGCAAAGCTGCCCGAACAGCCGCCAAAGGCCGTGGCAGCCAGGCCCATGCCACCGACAGCACCGGTCTGCTGGCAGCTCCCGCAAAGTCGTCGCGCTCCCTCGTGGGTGCCTCTGCGGACGACACCTCTTCCGTCGGCTCGGAGAACTCGGATCTCGACTCGGTCGACAGTCACATCGCCCAGAACTACGGCGCAACTTCGGCCCAGGCCAACCCCGACGACACCTCCTCCGACGAAGCTCAGGACGAAGACGACCTGGACACAGAGTCGCAGTTCCTGCTTCCGAACCACGCCGCCGATGCACACCATCGAGACGTGAGCAGCAGCGCCTTTTCGCGTCTCGTGCCCACCTTCTGGCCCATGTGGAAGGCGCCCAACGGCAGCAGCAGCAGCAGCAGCAGCAACAACGCCGCCCGACCATCGGCGCGCTCGTCCCAGTCCGGCACTCGCGCCTCCAACCTTCCGCGCGACATGCAGAGGATCGCGCGAGAGAGGCGCGCCAAGGCCGGCCAGCGAAAGCTGCGCACGCGCAAGCGACGCACCGAAGAATGGAGCCTGGCACTCGCACTCGCCTGGGTGGTGCTGCTCCACTTTATCTTCATCAGCGCCATCACCCTCCTCCTCGTCAGCTCGCTCCCGGCAAAGTCGTTCCCGCCTCCCGAGGAATCGTCCATGCTCCGAAGCTGGAGCACCGCCGTCACTGGCCTCGCCACCACTGCGCTTAGCCGGCCATCTTCGCGCCTGCTCGTCTCGCGTTGGGCCGCCTTCCTCGGCGGCTCGGCCACGCTCTTGGCCGCGGGTCAGTACGTGCCCCAGATCATGCACACGGCGCGGTCCAAGCTGGTGGGCAGCCTGAGCATCCCCATGATGTGCCTCCAGGTGCCTGGCAGTGCCATCTTTGTCTACTCGCTCGCACTCCAGCCTGGCACCGACTGGTCCTCCCTCGCCGCCTACGTGCTCACGGGCGTGCTGCAGCTCGTCCTGCTCGTGCTCTGCATCGCATGGCGCTTCCGCCAACGACGCGCGGGGATCGACGACTACGGTCGGCCCCTCGCCAGCATCTCGCTCTGAGGCTGTGGCGCACGCATTCATAGGGAGGGCAAAGGACTGTTTGTACATTACTGCACCGACTGAAGCCTCTGCGCATTTGCAAAGAGTGGGTTGGAATCGGCATCCGTCCCGTGACCTGGCGTGCGCCTTCAACGAGCACCCCGCCATGGCTGCGCTTGATGAAGCCCATTGTCGGCCCGACTTCATTTCGTCCGTGCCGTGGGCTCAGACTCGGTGAGGGAGTAGCGCGCCGACGCCAAACCACGGCTTGGAAAGAGCTGACGATCAGAACTCCTTACGCCATCCATCACACGCTCTGCTCGACCCCGCTTGTCTTCTCCAACTACCAAGTCGCTTCAACGCACTTTTGGTTCTGTCAGCCGCAAATATGGTCAAGGCGACGGCAACAAAGTGTTTGGTCACCTGGCTCTGTGCAGCTCTTCTTTCCTGCCACATGGTTGAAGCATACCCCGTCACACATGACCACGGCAAGGCCAAGGAAGAGCGTGAGTATCCAGCATAAGGCTCCATCCAAGTACATTGACTGACCCGCTGTCGATCTCTTCAAACAGATGCATCGCTCACTCGGCGCGGGGCATACCAGGCAGTGACGCCGTTTGAGAACCGGAACAACATCGCGCGCGTGGTGCTTGGCTCCATTGTCGGCGTCGTCGGCCTTGGTCTGCTCGGTTTGCACCTGACCGAGCACGCGGCGTGCAAGGCCGTAGCTCGACAGGAGGCCACAATGCAGGCAACCTGGGACGAGCTTCACCCCGACAAGTTCATCCCCAAGGGCGATCAGATGCGTCCCGTCAGCTTCGACTGCAGCTCAAAGTCGGTCAAACCACTCGGCATCCCAGTCGCCTACACTCACCCGGCGAATGACTACTGAACCGCGTGCACATGCCGGAGTGAACGAGCAAAGTGCGCGGGTCGCCGCTCGGTCCATAGTTCTAGCCCCATCGTATGCAAGACAATCGCACGCTCTTTTTCCTGCCCCGACCCATTCGAATGCATTTGTGAAGCAAGCTGCGTGAGGAATGACGGCGGCCATGTAGCGGTCCAGATTCTCGATGCTTGTCGCTGGTAAATAGCCGTCAAAAGCCGGGATGTTGAGGGGGCCGTCGCGGGTAAAAGTTGGACCCCTTCTTTTGACGGAGGGCGAGACAAGAGGGCCATGGCGCCGAGCATGATTCCACTATCTCCGCACGTCCGCACAAAGTCAGCAACTTCACGTCTGAGTCCATCCGCATCGAACGTCCCTCCCAACTTCATCCTCGGGCTTCCCACTCCACTCGCCGCTGGATCAACCCTTTCCCGCGAGCAAGATTTGCCCTTACCGACTTCCACTGCCAGGGCATCCGTCTGCCGGCCCGCGCCGATCTTGCGCCGATCGGTCCCGACGCAACCCACATCTCGCTGATCGGAATCATATCCCCGTATAGCAGCCGCTTTGTAGACGTCCCGTCGTCTCGCTCCATCCGCGCCAACGGCATCTCCCCATTGCGAGCCAATCACAAGACCACGGAACCATGGCGCCATCGCTCCGCTGCAAACTAGCCCAAAGATGAGCGACGCCTACCACGCCACGCCCCTGCCCTCCGGCGCCGACTCGCCAGCGTCCAAATCCGCACAGGACGCCGAGGCTGCCGCAGCCGCTGCCAAGAAGGACTTTCAGCGCTCGTTCAAGGCGTGCGATGGATGCCGCACCAAGAAGGTCAAGTGCGAGCTCGGCGACCTTGCGGCGCCGTCCGAGCCGCCATGTGCGCGATGCAAGCGAGAGATGCGCCCATGTCTCTTCACCATGTCGACGCGCGGCCGCGGTCCCAAGGCTCGCTCGTCGCGCTCCCACGCGTTCGGCGCCCACCATCTGGCCAAGAACCCACGCACGTCGTCGGCGAGCATGATGGACGACGACGACGAGCACGAATCGGCAGCCTCGGCAATCGATGCGCTTGCCGGCGCCGCTCTCGCCGCCTTGCCCGCCACAAATCCGCGCATCCATTCGGCCCGTCACGACGTGCCCGTCTCGGCGCTGGATCCTCTGGACGCGCCCAGCATCGGCATGATCTACGGCCTCAACCGTCACGACGATGCGCGCGTCGGCGCCAAACGCCGCAAGATGTCTAGCAATCTCACGCCCGCCGAAGCCGATGCCGCAACTGCGCCCACCGGTGACGATGCCGGCTCGGATGATCAGCCCGACCCATCTAGCCGGCTGGCGAGCCCAACGCCAGCAGGTGGATCCGACGCAGAGTCGACCGGCCTCATCTCCAGGCTCGACTCGCTGCAGCAGTACGCCGAAGTGGGTCTGCAACACAGCAAGGACGCGCTCAGGGTGCTCGCTGGTGTGGCCGTCGACTCGAGAGAGGCCAACGATGATCTGGACGCGCGCAGGGATGACAGAGACGACCAAGCGCTGGCCGAAGCCGTCGACGCTGCCACCACCGAGGACAGCGCCAACCGGCAATCGTCCGACCGCCCTGCGTCCTCGCATATGGACGGCTCCTCGACACATGCGCCCTCGGGTCATCGCGCGCAATTGAGCTCCGCGCAAAAGTCAGCCGCAGCGCTCCAATCACGCCCGGTGACGCCACCGCCACTCAAGCATACGTATGGATGGAGCAAGTTCGAGCCGGTGCGTCTCAAACTCATCAAGCGGAGCGAAGCCAAGTACTTCCTCAACTTTTTCATCCGCCAGATGCATTCCTTTGCTCCGCACTGCGCGCCGCACCTGCTCGACAAGTCGCCTGAAGCGCTGTCGGAGCTTGTCTACCGCGAGCCCATCCTGCTGGGCGCCATGCTCTCGGTCGCGTCGCGATACGATGTGGCCAACCACAACGCGCATGTCACCGCCGTCGACACGTTCCACCGCAAGATCTCCAAGTGGACGCAGGAGAAGATCAGCCGCTCCTTTTTCCTGCCTGCTTCGCACACCATCGGCACCATCGAGGCGCTTCTCATCCTGAGCGAGTGGGCCACGCTCGACCTGCACGATCGACGCACGTCGCCCGAGGCCAGCTCCGACTCCGACACGTCCGATGGCGATGGCGCGGACGGGAGCCAGTCCGACTCGGACGTGGATGGTGCGGCCACCGCGGCTGATGACGCGTCGGCTGCCAGCCCGGCGACGATCGCGGCGACGGGCGATGATCTTCGATCCGAGCACGAGGGACAGATCCCGCGGCCCGGTCGACGCAAACGCGCCAAAACGAGGGGAGCGCACAAACCGCGGCAGGCTGACATGCGCGAGTCGGAAAAGTTTGACGATACCGCCTGGATGCTCACGGGCACGGCGCTGCGTCTGGCCGAGCGCCTGGATCTGCACAACGACACGACGTACAGCGGTGTATCGAGTCGCAACGGCGCCTCGCGCAGGAACGCCGAGCGGCGCATGCGCGTATGGATGTCGAGTGTGCATGCCGACTGCCACCTGTCGGTGCGACTGGGGCGGAGGATATCGAGCCCGGGACTCGCAGCGCCATTCATGAATCTGGTGCGCGACCGCACGCATCCGTTTCTGCTCAATGCCGACATCAGCAACAGCGGCGAGGTGGGCTTCCCGTCTGGCTCGAATCGCGCCTGGATCGCGTTCCGGGCGCACGCGGAGCTGCTGCAGATCGTCTTCCGCACGTGCGAGAATCTGTATCGCTCCAAGGCAGTGACGGAGCGGCTGCTGGAGGACGAAGACTTTGTGCCTGCGCTCAAGTCGATCCGCGACGATCTGGACAACTGGGCCAACTGGACTCAGCCTCGCATCGAGCCGACGCGCGACATGACTTCGCTGCGCATCCGCGTCGAGTACCACTATGCGCGGCTGTACGCCAACGGCATCGCGCTCGACTCGGTCAAGCGCAGCCTGCGCACGCTCGCCAAGCATCGACAGTATCGGGCCTCGGAGGCCGCCGAGATCGGCTCTAAGGGCCGGCTGGGCAAAGCTGGTGCCAGCGCAGCCGCTTCGGCGTCGGCGGCAGCGTCGTACACGGTGAGCTTTTCGACGCACCCCGCCTATCCCTTTGTGCGAGAAGCGCTGGCCGCAGCGCAGAGTCTGATCCGTATCCTCACTGTGGAGCTCGAGACGATGATGTGCGCGCCGGCGCGATGGTTCTTGTTGCTGGTGATGGCGGCAGTGTTTTGTGTCAAGGCGACGGCTGTGTCGGACGTGATTCTGCCGCTCAAGCGATGCGCCCAGTCGCTGCAACAGGTCATCACGGCACTCGAGCGCGCTGCTCCCGACGGAGTGCATCTGGCGAACCGCTACTCGATGTACCTACGCCAACTGGCCAAGCAGCTCGTCCTGACCGATGCCAAGACGCGGTCGCACTCGTCGAGCCAGGCGCGCAACAAGTCGCGCACCAGAAGCACGTCGCAGTACGTTCAGACAGGCAACGCTGCCAGTCCGGCCTCGGTCAGCGATGCGACTTCGCAGACGCGTCCGAGCGCAGCGAGCTTGTATGCCGATCACGCCGGCGCTACATCTCAGACGGGCTCGGCTGGAACGCGGCTTCCGGAGAACCGCATGCGTTCGCATGAAGTCACGGCCGAATCGAGCGCTGCTTTGGCCACTAATAGCGGAGGTGCAGCGCCGGCTGCTGCGGATGCGTATTCATTCGCGCGCCCGTCGGGCGCCCAGCACACCCAGCACGCCCAAGCGCAGACAAGCCACACCGGCTCGTGGGGCAGTACGGCGGAGACTGGATGGGGCGTGGCACTCCAACCGTCTACACAAGCGACGGCGGGGGGAAGTGGATCGGGCTGGTGGAGCACCGCCGACATTCTGGCGGGCGAGGTGGATCCGCAGCTCTTCCTCAAGTGGCTCGACGATCAGACGTCGACGCTGGCGCCGCCCACGTCGCATTACCCGCTGTCGTCATGGGCGAGCGGGGCCGAGCAGAACCAGACGCAGCCATCGCCCTCGGGGGCCCATGCCGCTCATCGTGGATATGCGGGCTCGATCAGCGGAGCGTCGGCAGTGGACGCGGCTGCACGCAACATGAACCCGTCGCCCTCATCGGTGGCAAGTCCGGCAGGCATGCCGATGGGATCTCTGCACGCCGCCGGTCCAGGCCTGATGGCACAGCCGATGGGAGCCATGCGAGCGCCCACAAGCCCTGCCAAGGGCGACTCCGAGGATCTCTTGACCAAAATGTGGCTCGACGACGCGCTGACGGACCTGGCGGCAGCGGGGCTCGACATGCCCTTCCTCTAGATGCAACTTTCGGAAAGCTAGGAAATGCAGACTGCGACACTAGGAAGAATTGGTCTTGTTTGGAGACCATTCGACTGCTCGTGAGTGCAGAGGGGCGGCGTGTGATAGGCACGTGTGTGGCGAGCCAGGGTCTGGTACAATGCAGGCACGCCTGGACCGTCCGCGAAGCGCGAACTCCTTCCGTGTTTGGATCACCCGGGCTTGCAAAGTGGGATTGGAGGCGCTTGCAATGGCGACGTGGCAACAATCTCTGCGTCAGGGGTCCGTAAGATGCGAGCTCGGCAAAACGGCAACAAGTACGCTATCGCCGAATCTACACACTAGCCATCAGCTTCAATACAGGAGACAGATTTGGGCGGAGGGGCTCGCGGGTGGGCGTCCGCGGAGACGAGGGTGGCGGCGGCCAAGCAGATTCGTGGCTGCTCCAGCAAGGTGATTATGAATTTGGCAGGTATGCTCGCGCAACGCGTGAGGATGGTCAACTGTCAGCAATCCTGACATGACCGCCTCGCGTCGACGTCGCGGCGTCCTAAGCGGCAGAGGGCGAAAAAACAAAAAAGCGAAAAAAAAA